GTTCACGCTAAGGCGTCTTAAATAGGCAGCAAAACTGCCACGGAGTTCAACTCCCGTGGAGGTTGCAGCTGCCAAAATTTTCAGGACTCGATCTTCTGGAAAATTAAGCTACTTGCAACTTCACGGGAGTTGATTCCCGTGAAGCCTGCCCAGTTCCACGGAATTTCCCATAGGATCGATTCTCTTGGATTGTTGACTGCAACTCCAGGAGCTTGAAACTCCGCGTGGTAGTTTTAAGCACAATTAAGCTTCACGGAGTTCAACTCCCGTGAAGGTTTTAATTTTCTCCTAAACTTACGGAGTTGAACTCCCGTGACTGTTCTGGGGAGAATTTTTTACAAAAACCGACCTGTTTTCAGCGCTGGGCTGAAAACAGGTCGGTTTTTGCAATTATTATCGAAAGCGGTCATTTTTTGCAATTAAATTCCTAAAACGGTTGGTTTTGAAAATTTGTCCCTAGTAAGAGGGATCTAATCAATGTTTATCTGTTACATTCTTTGCATTCACAAAAATGGAGTTCGTTACTTGTCTCAAATAAATTAATATCCTATATAATATTTGTTTTTAGAGGTCAGATACCTTAATATTGTAATGACCGTAAATTTCTAATACTGGTTTAAATAATTTTTCTGGCATTTAAATATTAAAATTTTATTTTTTAAAAAAAAGAGAATTTGTATTTCCCTAAATTTCTAGAATTTTCTATAATTTAAAAGTTTGTTTTTATAATTATTTTAATGATTTTGCTAATTATATTTAATTATTACGATAAAGACTTTTAAATTAATGTTTGGTTATTCATTATTGTTATTATTATTATTTGTATTATTAATTATCTTATGTTATTATTGATATTTAGCTGCTACATATACCTGTAGCATGCATTGTATACGTTGTTATACCCCTTTCAGTCTAATCCTACTCCACTCTGTCACTCTCTCTCCAATAATTCATCCTCTTTCTCCCCTACCCCACTTCCCCAAAACCCTTCCCAATTCACGCAAATCCCCACCTCGTATTTCCCCCCAACTCTCATCTCACATCCTCCCAACCACTCTATTACGTACTCTCTCTTTCTCTCTTATTAAAATCTCCCTCAGATTCTTTCTCTCTCTCATTCCATTCTCTCTCTCCATCTCTCACTTCATCTCTCTCTCTCTCTCTCTCATTTTCTCCCCAACACCTCCTCCTTCTCCGTTCGACCCACGCCTCCCCTCCGACAACCCACGCAGGGCCGGACCTGACATTTTCGGGGCCCTTGGCGAAAATAAAATTTGGGGCCCTTTTTAATAGAAAAAACGCTAAACTTTTAATTCATAACAACGATAATTTATTATTCCAAAATATAAGATTACAAAATTAGAGAAAACAATTTCTTCGAGCATTTTTTGAAGCAAAGTCGTTTATGATAGAATCAATATCTATGTTTTGTAACATCTCATGCTCGATGCTTAGAATTGCCAAATTGCCCAGCCTTTCTTGTGCCATTGTTGAACGCAAGTACGTTTTGATCAACTTCAATTTTGAAAAGCTTCTCTCCGCTGATGCTACAGACACAGGAACAGTCAATAAGATTCGATAAGCAATAGAAACATTTGGATAACAATCAGCATGTTTAACAAATTCTAAAATTTGGACCGCTGTCATTGACACATTGGGTAAAGTCATTCGCAACACTCTTAATTCAGAAAACATATCATTAAGATCAATATCAGATGAATCATTATGAGATAAAATGCTTCCAAGGTGATTGCAACAATCTCTTAATTGAATATCATCCAACGACTTCAACTTATCTGAATCACATAAAAATCCAAAAATACTTTCAAATGTCTTTAGTTGTTCAAATCTCTCTTTCAGCGAAGCAATTGCCATATCCACAACAACAAAAAAATAATTAACTCTAAAAGAGTCCTCCGCAGATTGTATTTCTTCATTATGATCACTTTCATCAAATTGTTTTTTCCTAATTATACGACGCTTTGTTGCAAATGTAGGATCCACGTTCATATCAAATGCAACAGTTCTAGCAATATCCAGACTCTTTTCAAACCCATCATTTCTAAATTTTTCAAAATATAACATTACATCTTGCACCTGATTCATAGTGGTGTCAATGTGCATATTTTTATTTTGCAATTTTTTGCTCACAATGCTAATAGCAAACAAAATGTCATACCAAATAATCATACCAAGTAAAAATTCAAAGTTTTCTATTGCAGTGACCAAAATTTCAGCTTCACTCTTCGTTTTCGCATCTTCTGAAGATTTATATAATTCTAACAAAGCCAATCTTATTTGTGGGGCTTGAAATCTAATGGCTTTTACACTTTTAACTCTACTCTCCCAACGAGTATTACACAAAGATTTCACAGTAAATGAAGAAACTTAACAATTCATTAAAGAGCCCCAGTCCAGATGTATCATCTACCTTCACAAATTCCAAGAAGTACTCTTCTATCTTTATTTGATTACTGGACATATTCACACAACGTACAACTAGGACCATTTGTTCTTGATGACTTATATCTGGAGTACAATCAAGAATTACAGAAAAGTATTTTGTTTCTTTGATTTTTTTTATGATAGAACTTCTAACAGTATGGCCTAGACGAGAAATTAATTCATTTTGAATTTTGTGGCTAAGATAATGATAATGAACTTCATGATTTTCAATACGCCTAACATGATCTTGCATTATTGGATCAAATTCTGCAATCATCTCCACAAGTCCCAAAAAATTTCCATTGCTATTTTGATAGAGTTTCTCATTAGATCCTCGAAAAGCCAAATTGTTTTTAGCAAGGCATTTTATCACAGCTACTATTCTAACCAAAACTTGCCGCCATCGTTCCTTTTCTTGCATAATATGCTTTTGCAAGTCTTTATCAATTGTTTGATTTTTACTCAACCTTAATCTAAGCTCATTCCAAGAGTTCATGTTAGTCATATGCTCAATACTATTTTCATGGTCAGATAGTCTCTTGCAAATATTTTTCCAGTCTCTCAATCCATCATTTGCTAATAAAGTTGTATTGCTATTAGATTTGAACAATTTGCAACAAAAGCAAAACACTTTATCGACAAGTTTAGAGTAAATCAGCCATTTTCGATCACTGGTTTCTCCATTATTCAATTTTCTAGAATAATGGGTATATGCAAAATGCCTGCGATCTTCATCTAAAGGGAAATCAATTTTCAAATCTCTGTCAAATCCCTTCTCAACTAAAATGTCCCTTTCTTTGTTATCAAGGTTTTTCCAAGTGCTAGGTTCATATATATCAAAATGTGGTAAAGATTGCCTATCATCACCAAAATTTTCAGTTGTGAATTCAGTTTCACTAGGCAAAACATTTTCATTATTGAATTCACTTGAAACAATATTTTCATCACTTAAAGCTCCATTTGATTGTTCACTAACAACAGGAATACTTGAGCTTTTAGAGAAAAATTTGTCAATAGCTCCTTTTTGTGATTCAACTAGTTCATCTACTTGTTTTTTCTTTTTCCTTTTTTCATATCCAGACAAGTATTTCCGAGGCGGCATTTCAAAAAGTAGCTAAACAATTCTATAAAAATTAAAACACAACAATACATGTAATTTGCAGCTTAAAAGGGGAAAAAGGAATAACAGCACCTGATTATGAAAATGCCCAATTGCTCAAATGATCAAGAAGATTATTGCAATGCATCACTTAATCACTGTTTGCCTCTTTCAGAATATAATTTTAATTGAACAAAACTTATATTGATTCCTTTTTATAATGAATTAAGGAGTAAATTTAATTATTATCAAACGGCTAAATCTTTAATTGTGCTCGTTTGTTACAAGAAAAAAGCAAAGGATTTTAATAGATTACCTTTGATTGAAGAGATGTATAATGTCAATTTGGAATTGCCGCCGAAAGTGCCGCTTTCATCAATGCTTTCCTTGCCGCTTGGGTTTTCTATGTAAATGATGCATTGATGCTAATAATTGTAATCTATGTGATATGGTTGATGTATAAGGAGTAAGGAGTAATAAAATGGATCAGCTTATTGGACTATCTATAAGGAAATGGATTAGTTGTTGGACTAATAATCTCTTGGGCCAGAAAACTTAAAAGACTATACTACGATTTTAAAAATTTGGGGGCCCCTTTTCAGCGGGGGCCCTATGCGGTTGCCCCCCCTGCCTTAGCCCAGGACCGGGCCTGAACCCACGCCAACTCCGAGCTCCGCGACCACCCATCGCCAGCGAACTCCAAGACCCATCGCCGCTGTAGTTCCTCCTACGCACCCCTCATACCGTCACCGTTCCCTCCACCCACCACGCTAGCCCCTCCTCCGCCGCCAGCTCCATCACTCCGTACGAACGCACGCGACAGCCACATCGCCCAAGCGCCGCCGAGCCGCCCCCATCCTCTCTGGCCCGCACCTCTCGCCAGCTCTCCCCCTCCGCCCCATCTCATCCTTCAGCCCCCGCCGCCCCTGTTCGCCACCTGCAGCCCACCCCAGCCTCCGGAGACCCCCCTCCACCGAGCTCCACCTCAACCCGGCTCTCCCTCCCCCTCCATCACCGATTGAGCGTCGACCAGCAGACCCTCGCCCTCCCACCCTTCTCCCTGCTCGCCCTCTGCTCCGGCCACCCAACTCCACCCGCACCAGATTCCAAAACGGCCTCTGACCTGCCGTCGGCGTCCTGCGCCCTGCCTGCACCACCCATACTCGGCAGCCCGTTGCCCGCCAGGCCGCCATTCCTTCGAATCCCGCCCCGACTTCTCCCCGTAGTCCCTCTGCCTCTTTCCGTTCAGACCAAGGCAAACCACCCTGCCCGCCTCCTCGCCAGCGCCTTCGAAAACCCTCGTCCGATCTGCCGTCCTCAGCCACATATTAACTCACGCCACCGTCGCTGCCCTCCGACAGTCCACCGCCTCCTTGTTGCCACGCCTCGGCGCCTCGGCGCCTCGACGAACTTTCAGCAGCGCCCTCCGCCACGTGCGTCGCCAAATCGCAGCAGTGACCAACGCCGCCTCAGCTTTCAGATCCGTCGAACCACCGTAGCCTCGCACGGCGACGTCGATACGTTCGACAAAAACTTGTAGGCAAGATCCCTCTTGCTCGTTGACTTGTCATTTTGATATTTATATCTGTTAGTAATTGGTTATGTGATATAATTATCTGAGTAGGATTGTTGATGAATAATATTAGATAAATTGTGATAATCTGATAAATAACATTTCCAGAATGATTATAATCTTAAAAGAAGTTATTTTGGTATCAGAATTATTTTGAGATAATTACGCAAATTTAAAAAGAATTTATTTTGAAAACGAAATCATTTTAGATAATTATAATAAATTAAAAAAACTATCTTGGAAGAAGAATATTTTTAGAATAACTATAAATAAATTAAAGGAATTTATTTTGAAAATGGAATTATTTTAGATTAATTTTAATTAGAAAAGAAATTATTTTGTAAGAGGAAATATTAAAAAGAATGTTTTTAGAATTATTTAAAAGGAGTTACTTTGGAAAATGGAATTATTTTGGATAATTATAATAAGAAATAAAAGATTTATTTTGGATAAGGAAATCATTTTGAAGTAAATAAATTTATTAATTTAAAGGATTATTTTTGAAGGTGTGATTCTCATTTTAATTATGTGATATGTCATGATATCGTTGCGCATGATTGGTTGTACTTATTATTTCCTATTGTGTTTGAGAACCCCTAACAGTTCATGACTTAGTGACCTCGTGCGTCATGAACAGACTTAGTGACATGTGTGAGTGTGTTGACTGAGTTTAGGTGGTGAACCCGAGTTAATAGAAATTATGATTGTTGATTTAGACAAACAAGAAGAGTTGAGATGGGGAAGTCCATGTTCATGTGATCAGATATAACTGTTGATGTATCTTCCAGGCTCACCTCATGATCCAGTGTAGCTTGGGGTTAGTTTGTTGGGTCAAAGTGAAGCCAGTGTAGTCACTTTGGTCCGTGAATTTGATATTCACCCGGGTTTTGCTTGAGTTCGAATCAGGCTGAAAAAGGATTGCGTGTAGCCCTCTGACCGATCCAGTGTAGCGGCGTATTGGGTGCACGTAGAGGATTTGTGAACAGTCAGTTATCCGATGATATGAGTGTTGACTCTATGTGAGATGTGGACCAGTGAGTTGAGATAGGATGACTAGTTACATGACCTCGATTCTTGGCTAAGTATGATTCTTATGAGATGTAGGCCAGTTGTGTTTCTTTTCATACATAGATCGGGGTTAATATTTAATTATCTACAATTTGAGACATATGGTATATACATGAGGGTTTCCTTGTTTGGATTATTTTGCTCGATGTACTACGTCTCATGTTGTAGATTTTTAGGTATTAATTCCATCTATTGTATGCCCTTGTTACTTGGATGATTAGACTAATCGCTAGCTACATGATCTTGTTACCTGATCGATTTTGGATGCTTTATGTTATCATGATTTAGTAGTGTTTTCATGTTGATTTGTGGATTTCAGTTGTACGTTCTTTGTTGTTTCTGTTATTGTATCGTTTTCCGCTTGGGTTTTCGTTCGTTCTATTTTCTTTTGTAGGGTCTTGCTGTGCGCCATGCACGCTGACGTACACCTGTTTTCTCTGGTGCACGTCAGACTTAGAGGAAGAACAGATTCAGCTGGGAGATCGCCAGGAGCCGGAGGATTTTTAGCAGGAGTGCCTTGTAGATGAAGCAGAAGAACAAGTTGAAGCTTAATTATTCCTTTCAGTTTATTTTCGTAGCATTTCCTTTTCGCCTGATCATTGTATTTTTATATTCTCTTCAGTATTTCTTTTGTTTAGTCATGTATAAGGGCATGTTTGACCCGTATATTATGTCTCGGATGTTATCCTATTTGTGATATGATATTTTTATTCTGAGTTTATCTATTATATTCTTACTTATTGTGATCGGGGGCTTGTGACTTCGCATTGTATTTATTTCTAGACGCTTAGCGTATTAGATTGAGAAAAAAATTGATAGTGTATATTCTTCTTAATCTAATACGTCGCGGGCTTGTTCACGTTCCGATTCCCCTAGTATTTTGGGAAGCGGGGCGTGACAAATATGCTTCATTAAATTAGAAAATGAGAAAAACCCAAATGCAAAAGAAAATAAGAAAATAAACAAACAAAAGAAAATAAAAAAACAGAGAAAACAGTTAACAATTACATGACTTATGAAATTCCTGTCAAAAGTAATTATCCTTGTAGTGAGATAAATCTACTGAAATTTTGTACATTTCCATGGCCTTAGGCCCTTAGCTCTCAAAGTGCTGAACATTTTCCTTTTTTTTTCCCGGGAAATTCTGAAATTGTGCTCCCTCCAAACAGTGCAATAAATTGCAGAAGACCCCAAATTCGCTATTCTAATCATTTTCCAAGTCTATTATTTTCATTTAAGTGTGAACTGCCATTTGAAATTACAATGAAAGTGTGCTTAGAGCATCTCCTGTGAAAACGACGAAGGAATTGTGAAAAATATGAAGAATAACCCAAAACAGACTCCACCACACCCTGGTGTGGTGTCTGCCATGGGTGTGGCAGAATCTGTCCTGCACCACACCCTCTGCCACACCCATGGTGCAGGGTGTTGCAGACTCGTTTTTAGAATCCTCCTTTGTATGGGAATCCTCCTTTGTTTGGGATTGTGTTCTATTATAAATAGGACCACGATTTTTAGGGTTTCAAAAGGAGAGAAAAGGAGAGAATTAGCATTGTTTTGAGCACTTTGAGAGGGAGATATTATGAGGGAGTTGAGAGCTTTTGTTAGGGTTATATTTGAGTGATTTTGTGAGTTGTAACCCGTTGTATTTCTCAGAGCTCAGATTCAGATCTAGGGTTTTGGATTAGGTGGAGGAAGATTCAGTTTGAAGCTTGGTTCTTGGAGTTCTAGGCTTTGGTGGAGTTAGGGTTTGAAGTTGCCGTTGAAGATCTCGCTTTCCTCGTGTGGTTAGGAGTTCTATTTGGAATCCAATCTAGGGTTCAGTTGGGTAATTTCTTATTCTTTCAAAGTTTGGATCTTTCTCTACAATTTGGAAGTTGTGATTATGGGTGAAGTAATTGGTGAAAGCAGCAAGATGACAGGCACAGTTCAAGTGGGTTTTCAGAACACTAAGATTAGTGTTGTGAAATATGACGGCAAGATCAATTTTGGTTTGTGGATGAGCGACGTACAGGATGCGCTCAATGCTCAAAATCTGGAGGAGACCATCATGGTCGATGTGAGGCCACCTAAATATGAAGAGGCGATATGGGAAAAGATGAATCGAAATGCTTGCGGGGTGATCAGGTCCTGTTTGGAACAGGAGCTGAAATACGATGTGATTGGGGTGACGTCTGCGATGAAGATGTGGGAAATTCTCAACAATAAGTACCTTACGAAGAGTGTTGAGAACCGGTTGCACTTGCTGCGAAGGTTATTCAGATTCCAGATGTCCAGAGGTACCTCGCTTGCGGCTCATGTGAACAACTACACTAAGTTGTTGTCGGACTTGGCGAACGTGGATGAGAAGATCACAGATGAG